CTGATTTCTTGAGTATAAGAGTAAGAGTAATTCCTAAGAGAGAAGGGAAACTATAAGACTGCAGCCACGTAATACTCCTCACGGTAATAGTGCTTTCGATATTATAGCGTTGCTAATGTCATTCATTTATGATATAATAATGGAAAAGACAAGCTGTCTATATAGTGGCACAGTAAAGGATAATATGACTTGTCATTGGGTGACGAAAGTGCAATTTCGTCTTCTATTCTATTCTCGCTTTACCATCATTTGTGGCAAACCACATCCGGAGCACTCATTCAAAATATTAATCTCCGTTATTAACTTCTTGCAATTGATTTCCCGCCTCTTAAATTGCATTTTTAATGAATATTCAAAATAACATTTAAAAAACATACCCCTTTTAATTAAATCTCATTTATTTACTATAAGAGAAAGAAAAAAAAAGAAAAATAGATGATTATTTTGAAAAAATACAACTTACAGATGGTGAGTTAAAATTTACTACATTGATATGACATTTCAGTGCATGGATTGGGCGAAATGAATGATCCAACGACAAACTCTGGTAAAAATAAATTTCTTGTTTCCTCAACGTGCATCACAGTTGATATATAAATATACAGATGCGTAAATGCATTCTGTATAAGTGTCTGTTTCGTATAGTATATATAAAGAAGTATTAACTATTGAGGTCACAGATGAAAAGAGATTTGAATATATCCAAGTGTTTTTACTTCCGGTATTCTGAATAGATATTTATATTGTTTAATGCTCGATATTCTTCTTTTTGATATGTTCAAGCTTCTCGTGATATAAATTATATTTTTCATGTATAGTTTGAGGCAAAATAAATTTTCGTAGTGTTGACAACTATTTTTGTTTGATTGTTATACCAGTTATTTTCATCATCAAAAATATGCTTGGACTGTTATATTTTAAATATAAAACTTGTATTTGTATGTTGATATACATTGGAATGGCTAGATAAAAGCGACTGTCTTGAACGTTGAATATTAATTTTTAAGTAAAAAGATTTATTTCAATGAAAAGTATAGGATTTTTAAAAGCTAATAAACGTTGCATAAAATTTTGAATTTGTTTATGGTAATTGGAAAAAATATACATTAGTGGATAAATAAAAAAAAAGGAAATATTAAACGATCACGTGTACATAACTTCAAGTTACTAGGCTACATGTATTACTTATACGAGAAACGTATCACATGTGATGTACGTAAAAGAAAGAAAATTTACTACGCAGCGCAAGACGCGACCAGTTCGGAGTTTGAAAAATTTTACAATTATGAGTCAGTGGCATGTACGACGTCAGAATAATTAGCAAGTAACAGAGGTAATATTCATGTATCATTCATTTCAATGGAAGTATTATTATATAAGTAATTAATTGGCAACCAATTCAATAAATATGTAGAGTATTATAATAATAATAATGTTTTGAATAGTCGCAATGAATTTTTTTCCTTAGCATCTCAGAACGTAAGAATTATATTAATTGTTTATTATTAATCATTTAATTATTATTCATTTAATTCAACTTGTATTTAAACTTGTCATAACCCTTTGTAACCGAAAATCTTAAAAAATAAATTATGTTAACAATTTAATAAATTGAGGTATAAAAAATGCATATTTTTCAGCAATTTAAATGTATTGAAATTGTTGAATATTAATAATAATTAATTATTAAAACTCTTGTTATTAATTATTGCTATTTTTAATTGTGAATGTAATATGAAATAATTTTCGTTTAAAAAAATCGATATGAATTATTTTTATTTGAATAGACTTGTATGTACGTACTATTTTCATGTTGATACGAGTTTAGAAACGTGAATAGAAATGACAACGATCTCAAAGCGAAATAAGTTTATCTGATTTGAATTCTCGCGGGTTGCGCGCATATGACTCTCAGTTACGGCCGGCATAACAATGCATGATGTAACGGCCGGGGGTCGAATCCTCCTCTCCCTCCATCCTCTCTTGTTACAGGAAAGTGAAACTCTTGAAAACCAGGTCACACCTACACGATGAACGTCACACTCTACTCGAAAGTTAAATTGTATGGCTACTGATTTTTGGGTTTCCCGAATTTTCATAGAGCATATTTAAATGATAATTAAATCCTCAAAGCTCCAAGTATGATGGATCATATTTCTATACGCTAAATTAAAAATGATTTAAATAGTTGGGAACTATTTTTGAAATTATTAAAAATATTACGACGAATTTAACACAAATATAATCAGTATAACACTCATAGAAAAGTTGACAAAGGTCATTGATTTATTTGCTGAATGATTTATCGTAAGGATAGAGATTAAATACAGAGAAAAAATACATATTCGCATAATACTTATTCTACACATAATCCCGATCACGTACACTATAAGTTTACGCACACAATTAAAAGAAAATTACATATTGTCACGCGGACATAATGATCGCGCTAAATGATTTATGAATGAATTAGGTAAACGCTGGACTTGACTATAATCATATACATGAACGTATAACTATATTTATAATTATAGAATTTTTATCGAGTAGAGTTATTTTTAATAGAGTTTTGTATTCAGTCAAATGCAATTTTATCATAATGCAAGTAACTGATTCATCTATGAATATTCAGATTCGCTACTAAATGTATTGTAATGAAACCTGTGTAACTGGGATCTCAAGGGATCTAGAATTCTTTATTACTCTTCATTTATTCAGTTTCCCAAATAAGCAAATAAATAAAATTCGAAATAACAGTTGTTTTTATTTATGAGAGTCTTGCTGAGAGAAGTCGAAATAAATCTTTTTTCATTTATGAAGATGAAAAAATTTATAAAAATGAATATTTTATGTTGTCATTATGTCCAATTTTTATTATTTAAAAGGATACTACAACACTTATGACTTAGTACTGAAAAACAAAGCATGTGTGGAAGAAATTTAAATGATTGTAAACAAACGTGAAGTGACCTGATAAAGTGTCTTACTTATACAGGTTGTTGGACTGCCAAGTGTCAATTATTGTAAAGGTAAACATCGACAAAATTTGAGGAATTTAAGGACAGTAACAGAGGTATTCTAATCCAAAAGTGTCAGGACCTTTTGTAGTTATCAGTCACAAAGGATTTTCACATCTCCAGAGCCCACTTAACTAGGATTCACTGTATTAGGTAATTATTATTTTTTTAATGCATAAATACATAACAAGTCATCATCAATTTTAAGGCAGAAGTATACTTGAAAGTAGAGGTTTTGTAGAACAATCAGGTTACATTCACGTATCAAATATGTTAGTTGTTTGCGTAAAGATAATTATTTAATAGAATGTTGACACGTGTAGCTTACATTAACAAAAGTGATATGTACTATCACATTATTCATTCAACATTTAAAAAATAAAAATACCTGAAAAAATTATATGTTAGTAAACATGTAGGTGAGTGTATAATTGAATAAATAAATAATTGAATCAATGAATTTTTAGTGAATTAAATAATCTAATAGAAATGATGGAAAAATATTAATCTAACTTCCAACTAAACAATCAACAAAAGCTTGTTGTCTATCTAAAATAGACGTAAAAATTTTGATCAGAAAATAGCTCCTGGTGCCAGTAAGTAGACTTCTTGGCGTCAAAACTTAGCATACATATTATGTCACTTTTTATTATGATCATTTAAGCTATGTCATGTATGTAATTACGGAGATATCTATGTACGTATGAACACTGAAAATTCAAAAAAATATTCCATTTTATTTAAAGAACAATTGTTGTCTATTTTTATAAATCGAATGAAATTGAAGATAAACGATTATTACTTATTACTTGTTTAATATATTTAGTAATAAATTCTTCTTAAACTCGTACTATTTATTATTAGGAGACATCTACATTGAATAATTTTCATTAGAAAATCCGTAATTTCCTCTTTACATGGAAAGGAAAAACGTGGTTGATGAATCTCATGATTGCAATAAAATGTAATAATTCATCAAGAAAAATTTGCAAATTTTTATTAACACGTTTTTTTGCGATTTAAGTTAAAGGATTAATGAAAAATTAATGTTTTATATTTATATTATATACATGTGTCATTACATCTATACTTATAATCTTATGTCGTGACACTTAGACGGCGTTAATCGATTTATCTGACTAACAACAAACTTATCTTGTGACTCATGTTAAGTATAGATTCCGGTTTGAAAAAGTTGATTACTTCAGGTATTAATCGATTTTGCTGAAATCTCAAGTTAAAAAAAAATATTAATGATGTTATCATTTATCTGAGGTTTTTTATCAATCCAGTAGGAGACATTAACTAGTCTAAATCATAAAATGTATTTTTAAGTCTATTTATTTTTTCTCAAGATTTTTTTACTGCATTAGAATAAACGATTATTAGAAAATAAAAAGTTTGTTTTAATAAAAAAAAAAACGATTAATCGTTTAAAACTCAATAAAATAGAGTTTTATTGTCCAGTTCCTAAAAAAATAAATTATTAATAAAAATTTCAGCTTAAACTCTTCTATAAAATAGGCATCAACGTTCTTTTTTTAGTCTTTTCATGTTATTCGAGGTAATGGAAGACAAATTAATCAATATGCAGAAAGATAGGTCGTATATTTAATAAAAAATACTAATTTATTTGAAAGGGCCCAGGGTTTTTTAATAACATAAACTCATAACTCTGTCAATTTCAAACAAAGGATAATTCTAGAGGAAATGACTGTACAGGCAAGATGAGAAGATCACTTTTTTATTCATAATATCTTATGAATAACAATAGTAATTATCGTTTAATAACATTACTTTAAAAATGTTAATTACTTTACTTACAAATTTTATGCTCAACCAATAATGTATTCTATGTAGTATGATTCAAAACCCAGATAAACCTTATCAGAAATTTTTTTTTTTTTATTAATCTGTTTTAATAAGTAATAATTGATATTTACAAGTGGATAACAGTTGGAAAAATAAATACAAACAATTTAATAAATTTTTATATCAAAATATATTTGTGCATAGACAAGAAGACAACCGTGACAGGTAATCTCATACTCGACACGCGTCGCACTACACACATCTCTGAGTATGCTGCACGCATAAAAATTATATACATTCATACCCGTACATCTTATGCCCGCCAGGTTACACAGTGCGCAAAATAAAAAGAGCAGAAGATCTTTTTTAGGATAGATGAAGAAGAGGAGGAAGTCCTAGTGTAAAGACATGAAAAAAAAAAAAAAAGAATTGAAAGTAAAAAGGAGAATTTTTTTCATTATGTACTTTAAGTGTACTTGATATTATTATAACAATGATGATGATGACAATTCACATTTATTCTGTCATACATAAAAATGATCAACAATCAAACAAATGAACAATGAAGCCCGCTTCACACATATTTACGGTAACTCATGTCAGTGATTTTGGTGGTACGCGTACAGTTATTACTTAACATATTATCAACTATTTAATAAAATAAACTATTGTCGAAACATAACATTTTTCATATTTTCTTAAACTGATGATTCATCCTGGCCCTTGCAAACAAGTATTCATGTTCGCTCTTTGAACAAAAAATATATTAATTTTTACGTACATTTTTTACTATATTTAACTTAAAATTAACTATAATACAAGGCTGTGTACATTTTTATGGATATTTTACTCCAAAATTATATTTTGGATTTTGTGTATCCAGCTCTTTAAAAATTTTTATTAACGCTATGTCATAAGAATTTTTTTTTTTCTTTTCATTGTTTATTGAAAACAAAATAAAGTAACTATGTTTTACTTATAATAATTTTATATTTTTGTTTGCGATATTGTTTTTTATATAAAACAAAAAATTAGCAATATTTATAAAACGATTGTTACTAATAATATCCAATTTCAATGGGGTTATTTTTTTATCCAAAATATATTTTCGTACAAGAGCGATACACTAATTTATTTAACAAATTTAATGATAATTGTACCTAGTCACAACGCTATGCAAACAAAATATACATCTACAGTGAGAAATTTGCGATCTATTTCAATGTAACATATAGTAATTTTTTTTTTATATATATATTTGTTTTTAATAAAATGTAAAATTAATAATTTTATAGTTATGATTTATTATTCTATGATTTTTTTTTTTTATTTAAGATGAGTCATGACAGTACGATTTGATCGGTACTTTTATGTGCGGGTAACTATCCCAGTCTTACATCGTGATAAAAATAATAAAGGTACCAAGGAGTTAAAGTTATAATGTCGATGCCGCCATTTCGAAGACTTGTTTTGAATCTTGAGTAGTAAGAGAGATCAAAAAAAAAAAATGACGGTACTTTAGAATATGTGCTCGAATAGCGCAATTATCTCTATTTATATAAATGTTTCTAAAAAAATTTATCTTATTTTTTTTTATCTACAAAAATTAATTTATAAAAGTGTCCAAATTTAATCCTAGTCAGGTTCATTGAACATTTGGGATAATAAGGCACTTTTTTTTTTATTATTTACCCAAAATAGTTTCATTAGATAATATTATTTCATTAATTAAATGAATCGCAAATCCGACTGTATGTTTATCCTGTATATCTATTATTCAAAAATTGAATAATAAATCGCTAAAATGATCGATCGGAATGATCTATTAAAAATATAACGGCGTACAGTGACGTTTGTGAGCTTTCACAGCCGGATACTTTCCGAAGAGTCTCGAAGGTCACGAAAATTGCACGTGCGCTGAAATGTTCTACTACACATGCTGATGACGATGCTACATAGGTGTGTGTTGCTGAAATGGTTCCAAATGCCTTGCGAGTTCCCGGTGCATATGTTCAGGTACAACGCCAACATTATTGAATAAGGTTCTAAACACAGTAAGCTCCTCAGTCAGAAGCTCAATTCTCTTTTTCAAGATATCGTTGTCTTTTACAAGCAGTTTAACCTTTTCTTCAGTTTCCCGCGAACGAACTTTAGCTTTTTCTCGACTCTTCCTCACAGCAATATTGTTCCTTTCTCTTCGTCGTCGGTATTCATCACTTGCTTTATCTATAGTTTTATTTTGTTTTCTCGCAACAGCAGCAGCAGCAGCGGCAGCAGCAGCCGCTGCTTGGTGTTGATGTGTTATTACTGGTTTCATAGGTCCCCGTGGTGGTTGTTGATGTTGTTGGTGTTGAGATTGTTGTTGCTGTTGAGGATGTTGATGATGAACAGGATGACCTGGTACCGCTGACGGTGTCAGTGTAGTAAAGGTAGGACCACCATTAGTAAAAGGACCATTACCAGGATTATATCCTCCAGGAGGATATTGAGGACAATGTCGTCGATAATCTGTCGGATCCATTGGCTCTTCTTTGATACTAGGTGATTCGGAAGACGAACTATTACTATCGCTGCAGCTGTTACTATTTTGATGATAACTAGCACCGCTGTGAACTGGTTGAGGCATGTAGGCTAAAGTTGTTCTCGGATATCCGGTGTTTCTAGTATGTTTGACGGCACCATTACCGCTACTAAGCATATCCAAAAGTCCATCATTAAAATGAGAATCATCAATTAAATGTTGAAGATCCAAAGATATCTCTGGGTTATTTAAATCTGTTAATTCACCAGCAGCGGCACAGTGTTCGGCATATTGTTGATGAAGACTGGCCTTGCTTGCCGATACTTTGCTTACTGTACTGCTGGTCTGTTGATTGTGATTGACTTGAAGAGATGAGTTGTTATTATTGTTCGGACTGTTGTTGTTATTCCCAGGTAGTCCTTGTGATTTTTTTAAATCTCCAACACCCTGATTTTGAACCTGGTGGGCTCCTGTTTCATACATGACTGGTGATTCCATTGCACTCACTCGCGCATCACAGTTTTAATATTTAATTATCACCAGCCTTGTTTTTGGCTACTATATTATTTTTAATTACAATTAATATTAGATAATCACAATTGTTCGAAAATAGTTCGATTTGTTGAAATGAATATTTCACTTTTTACATTCCTTCACAGAACTCATTTTAATCTTCACAAGATATTTATTCACTGCTAGCTTGACTCGTCCATTTATATTTCTGACACTATTATTTTAATTTTTAATGACAATTGAAAATAAAAATAATCTTTCTTTGCAGCAATAATAGAAGTTAACTACGCCAATAAATGACAAACTAGTTAACACATTTGTATCTTTTTTTATAAGTAAGATTAACCGAAATCAATCGAATGAGTGTCAGCGCGCGACTGACTATCTTAGAAGCATGTCGCAAGCTTTCAATGTAGTCCGCGCCAACTTCGAGTTACATGTTTGATTGGTGCGCATGCGTCCATATCACCGTGTTAATTCGTTTACTGTCCCTTCTCTTCTTCTTTGTCTTCGTCTTTTCTTTACTCACACTTATTGTGCTTAATATCTTCTTTTAATTTGAAAAACAACATTGAACGATAAATTTCTCTAGTATAGTTTTTGTTTTGAGATACGGTTTTAATTGATAAAAGAATGATTATCTCATAAAGTAATTCATGCAGTTTTTTTTTTTTTTTTTAAAGACATAAATTAAATTTAATTATTTATTAATTTTTACTTATGTACACATTATATTTAAATAATTTTGAATACTTTAGTCTCATAAAATACTATTATTTTTTTATATATCTGTATCTAACATTTAAGTTAAACTTTTATCTTTGTTTATACCCATTAATTTTGTGCGATTTTTTTAAAAATAACTATTCTAAATATTTAACAGTATATAACAGTACTATCATAAACATGTCTAATCTAAAATTAAAAGTGATATTAATTTAGAAAAATGGAATATTTACAAAAATGAATATTTACTTTTCTATATCATAATATCAATTTTTTTAATCAAAATTAATTCATTTTTTTTCACGCAACTGTGATTTTTTACCAACTGCTACTGTCAAAAATAAAAAAATTATTTTCCTACTTTATCAGCATAGTTCAGATATATCGACATTTTTTCACTCGTTTTGTTTAAAATAGATACTCATAGATGGCAGCACAATACTATTTCTAGAATTCGGGGGTCTTTTTAAACAATTTTATTTGTTTACATTTAGTAAAATAACGCATTGATTCCATCAATTTTTTCAATAAAATTATGTAATATACAATGATTTTTTGGAATTTAAATTCCTGCATTTCATAATAACTATTTAGTTATCATGTGAATGTTCTTTTACCGACTTCTACATTTAATACCAACTGTCGGTAGTATTTCAATTGCGCAGTTTTCGGCTCAAACGTATTTTTCAATTTCTCTGAATCTTCTATTTATTGGGTTTTTCCGTTAGTATTCTTGAGTTATTTCAATATATTACGGACATAATAATTTATAGAAGCTTTAATTGCTAGCTATTCTGTATGCCAGAGCTTATATATTTGAATACAAATTCCTCTGATCCTATGGCGTCGCACGAGTACGAAAAAGATGCGCAACAGTTGATGCGCAGTTAACATAACACGAATAGCGCGCGTCAGTCGGCAAAATTGGCGATAACTCTTGTTTTCATTGTTTGATATTGCCGAATTTAGCGAGTAAAAAACCGGGAAGGTGTATAGAAATGCATTATTGATTTTTGTGAGTGTTGTTAAAGTCTTATTTACGTTTGAGTGAAGTGAATCATGTCTTATATCTCCATGGACAACTGTAAACAAGGAGGTATGATGGGATACTCCAAAATGCAGTCAAGGTATTTAATACTTTATTTATTTTGGCGTACATATTTATTGAAAATTATAATATATACATCAAAATCCATATTGTTGCGATCAAAAATATATCATTTCGCAATTCGGTTTCTCAAATAGGATAAAATTTCCTCTGTGCTTTTCATTAGCATTTCATGTCGCGGTTGCCTGAAGCAGTTTCCGCTAAGAAGTAGAGTCCTGTTTGTAAACAATTCGAAGATTTCAAGTCAATCACAAATAGAAGTAGTTTCAAAGCTTTTTCAAGGCAGTGTAGGTTAAAATAAAGACAATGACTTCAAGCTTGAATATTTTTTACTTCAATCATTCAAACTTAAGCCTTTTCATCAATTTTATTTATGATGCAATCTATATTACCTCGAATATTGTTTTATGTATAAAATAATGATCTATGACAATACAATAATGACATATTTATTACCAACGTTGATGATGGGATTGTGACTTTTATCAAGTAGCATTTGCTCTGAATATACAATGGTTAGCATGCAATGCAATGGAATGCTATTTGGCAGTGTCCAACGATCAATCTGATGATGAAAACAACTAGAGGAAACTGATAAAAAAAAATAATACACAACATTGACCAAAATGATAAAACTATATTGAATAAATCATGTTGATAAAATTAAGCAAATTGACATATAAATATTTAGGCGATGTTTTACATCGAGCATGCATCATAATACAGAAATATTACTTTGATTTACCTTAGATTTGTTTGATTTCCTAACTCAGGAGGCACAAACTTTATGTTATTATTTGATAAATCTAGAGTTGCTAATCTTTTTAATTTTGACAATGCCTCAGCATTTATTTCTTCAATTTGGTTATCATGAACAACCAATATTTCTAAATGTAAAATATTATAAATACAATCAGGTACTGTGACAAACCTAAAATAGGATTGAACTTGATTATTGTTCATTACAATAACATCCTTACATACGTACTTATTATGTGAAATATTTATTTCACGTAAATGTTCAAGCATTCCAATTGTGTCTGGCAATGATGACAATAAATTTTTACTAAGATCTAAGTATCTTAGACGATTATAGGCCTCTCCGATCCAATTTGGAATTGATGTCAGTCGATTACAAAAGAGTTTCAAATCTTCTGTAAATTTTATTAATGCCAATTTGTCAGGCAATTGTGATAATTTATTTCGGCTCAGATCAACACAGGTTACTTCAGCTAGAATAGCATCTTCAATAACATTTTCAGGTATTAAATCAAGGTTTTTGTTAGTTAGACTTAGAAGTTTGGTATTCTTCATTGTATATCTATAAATATTCAAATATTGACGATAGATAGTAGGAAAATATGATTGGATTAAAACTGTTTAACAATGTATACCTGTCTGGCATTGAGATAGAATTAGAGCATACAGTTGATGATTGATTAAGGTCGATAGATTCACCATCCAACTGTTGTCTTAAGTGTCTCAAAATTCGTGGAGTCCCACATTGAATTATATCTCTTCGTACATTTTTAACTTGATTTCCTTCAATTATAAAGTATTTCAAATTTGGCATCACACAAATGCTATTAGAAATCCTAGAAATCAATCCTTCAATATTATATCATATTAAAATATTTTAGATTAATTGTTAATCACGATTCAATCAATGAACGATTCGATCTCATCAAAAATACCCACTGTGTTAGTTTATTGAATGATGCATCGAGGCGTTCCAAATTTAATAATTTTATCATTTCATCAGGAATAGTCTCTATTTTATTATGACTTAGTAGAAGGGATTTTAGTTGGCCTATTCCTTCTAAACATTCCATATCAATTTCCTAAGGGTAAATTAATGGCCATGTTATGTTCAACGATTATAAACGGATTATATTATTTGTATATCCATATGCTAAAATACTTACAACAATATTGTTGTTTGAAAGCAGTAATTCTCGTAGAGCAGTACAACCTGTCATATTAGGAAACACTGATAAATTATTGTCTTGAAGGTTTAGAGTTTCCAATTTTCTTAATTCACCAAAAGCAGGAATTACTTCCAAGTGATTAGAACTTGCATCCAATGTTTTTAAAACTAAAATAGATTTAACATGAAATAAATTTGTCTATTTATTTATCTTATTAGTGATCTTATGTATTTGTTGGCCGAGTTTATTTATTCATGTGTAAAGAAGACACACCTCTCATGCTCATAATATCCGGTGGTAGCTCTACCAATAGATTATGACTCAGGTCGAGATTACATAATCGTACGAGGTATCCCAACCCTACTGGCAATTCTTTCAAATTATTGTGCGATAAATTCTACAAAAGAATGACTTATTAAATATAAAAAAGAAAAATATATTTATGGATAAACATATTCTTAAAAAACTCACCAGAGATTCCAACATGACAAGATCTCCAATAGCTGGATCTAACTTTTGGAGACTATTATATGAGAGATTCAATTGTCTCAAATTTTCCAATGTGTATAAATTGATATTGACTTCAGTCAATTTATTATGTGAAAGATTCAATATTTTGAGTTTCAATAATGATCTAATCTGATTTGGTAAATTTTCTAATAAATTATCATGAATCTAGAACATATGAATGAGGATATTACTAAAATATTAAGTTAAAGTCTATTAAAATTGTAAATGTAGCAGATTTCTGATAGTTACATCCAACTCAACAAGGTCTAATAAATTTTCAACTTCTGAATCGATGTTAGTTATGCTATTAGAACTAAGGTTCAAAGTTTTTAATGGTTCATATTCCCACCAATGATCTTTGTCATTACTATCAAAGTCAATTTCTCTATATAGCTCTGCTATTTCTCCTTCAGTTAATTCATGTAAAGTCCATACTCTTTTAGGAACTGTATAAAAATAAAAAAAAAACAATATAAATAATGTAAATATTGTTTAAAAAAATAATTAAAAATAAATGCATACCAGTAGCTAATCCTCTACCAGAAAGAGTTAATTCGCCTGTTCTTCGAGCTTCTACAATAATTCTCTCTGATAATTCATTATTGTCATCTTTTTTTGTCCTTGGTTTAAACACAGCTAAATGATTAACACGATCTTTTCTTCTCACTGCACTCATTTTATTCGACTATATCTGATTAACTTAATTGCAGTATCAAGTTTTCATGTATTTTATAACACAATGAGCTGTGTGACTTACTACCCATGATAGTTGTCAACAACCAACTACATTTCCTGTGTTCGTGAACTTGATGTGAACGTAGTAAATAAATAGTGTAGCCTCGGAGGGAGGACATATTGAATTGTCCAGTTGCTGCATCAATCAATAACATTACAAAAACATGAACAGTTTCCTAGTATCAACAGCAGCTGGTATAGTTCTTGTCGGTATGTTTCCTTTGAAGCTAGAGAGTATTATTGATTGTTGGATTAATTGAAATCTTTTTGTTTATTTTTTTTTTCACTTTTTTGATTCGAAGACGTATTTATTTTTAAATATTTTTATCAATAAGTGTTATTAAAAATTTTAAATTATATTGATGTTTTATTGTTATTGCATTATTTTCATGCATTTATTTTTCAAAATTAATCTTTCGAAAAGATGTCAATAATTTATAAATTTTCATCTTATCTGATGCATCTTATAAAAAACGTATTAATATTTACCGAGTTTCAGAGAATATAATTAAATCATGTTTGTTTAATTTTGCATACTTGTCTAGAAAGGAAATTGACACTAGAACGTACTAATGAAGATTGATTTAAAGCGGTTAACTCATATACATGCATGTAGGTTATTTTATATTCGGTTATCTGATTGTTTGCAATATAAGATTTAGAATATATTAAAGATAGTTACTTGATAAAATAATTGACCAAATTTTTTTTCTATTTTAAGAATTTTCCAATAAAACCCAATGATCTATCATTCCTTGATACCTAAAGTATAGAATTTAAAAATCGAAATAAATAAAAGAAGTCATACAATAGAAAAATAAATTAAATGTAATTGAAGGTAAGGATGATGAGGTTACCAACTCGTTAACTTGATAGAATTGGTAAAAAAAAATATTCTTGAAAGCAATTTCAAAACTTCTGGATAATAGATAATTTGTAAGTCAAAAAATGGATGAAAGTTAGAGTTTAATACTCAGTCTGTACAGTTTGTCGAACACAATGGTGAAGGAACAAGATAAGTGTAAAGATTTGGAGAAGGAAAGGTGACTTTGCGTGATACCTCATGCTATTTTCGCGTGTCGAATTCTGATTTGCTTCGTTGAATCAAGTGTATAATCTCCCGTGGTTCTTGTCTATATCGTATTATATAGACACATGAACAAATGGGTGGTGCACTTTTATCCTTATTCTTGTACCTTTATTCTTTCATTATCACTGCTGACGTTGGAATAACTGTTGCAATTTACTTGTCATCTATTAATTGACTTTTTAACATGATGAAATAGCTGATGAATAGAATGATTATGCTTGTTACGTTGATAATGTGCTTTGGATATTTTTTTTTTCTTTTTATTCATAAATATTGAACTGAGTCTATATACCAATTTCCTCTTTTGTGCTACACTTATTCAAAACTAATGTTGTTTAACGAGTAGACTAATTTAGATATTGAAATATGATGGCAAGGTAATTTTTCAAACTATTTAACATGTCCAAATAGGAACGATCGAGACACTGGTGAGCTGAACACCTTGCGCCCACAAAAGACATTTGTAGTAGATTTATGTTGTGATAGTAGTTAAATTAGTTTCATCAACTTTGCCCTCGCTGCTTATAGAGAATCGCGTGGCCGTGATTTGGATTCCTCCAAAATTACTTGGCTATAGGTATAGAGTCAGACGAAGAAAACTGAGGGCGTTTCTCGTCGAACGTGACTCTAATGGTGGCTTTCGTGCATTTTGGTTACCTTTATTTTCTTTATTCACGAAGACGTACAAAAACGAAATGAAAATTGACGTAGTACTTGATTCTCGTTGGGCCAACGAACTTACCTTTTAAAATCCCAAGGCTACGCAAATCAGTTTTCTTCAAATGCATATTTATTACATATTATTTCCACTACATTCACTAGTAAATCTAGGCCTCGTTGCTTTCCACTAGAAATTTATATCGCTGCTCTAGTTTCTAAGAATGCAGATTTGAATATACTTCCTTAGGGATGCGGGTTACCATATCTCGTACCTAAATTCTTTAGTGTTTTTTAGTTTTATGCACTTTGAAAATATATTTCTGGCTTTCCATATGTATATCTCTTTGAAGACTTATACATATAGCTGCAATCTCATGAAGATATATTCTCTAAATTTCCAGAAGTTATGTTTTTTCAACTATTTACATATTTTCCAAATTTTCTGATCAAACTTTTACATGTTTAACATATGTTATAAATATATATTCAATGCTGTCGATGTTGAAATTAAAAAAAAAACTTGGAAATGAAGTACTACAATTAATTAAACTGTAATAATTGTAAATAATTCATGTATTGTGTGCTGTTAATTGTTCAATTCAACTGGATATATTTGTTGAATCAGCAAAATATTTTTCCAATTAAATCGACAGTTATTTTCTGTTTCAATAATCGTTTTTTTTTTGTTTTTAATATCTAACTATTTTTACTTCAAATATTAAAATAATATAATAATTATGTAAAGTTTTACAAACGAGTATTTCAAAATTTTACCCTCAACTTACTTTTTAACTATTTAAATTTTCATGGCATGGAAGTTACATACAATGAGGAGAATATTTTCACTATACAAAAAAAAAATTTTAATTATTTATTTAAATTAATTTAATCATTAAAAAGAATTATTTAAAATATGCACAATAAAATGATTTATTAAATTTAACGAAATTTTGTTTGAAAAACGTATTTTGATATTTGGTTAAAAATTATAGTAAATTTAGAAATACAAGTGATATTAAATTAATTTTTAATTTCTGAATTACCGTGAATTCTAAAAAACAATGATCAATTCGATAAAACATTAAAATAAACTAATGTTCAGATAATTTTATTCAAAATAATTCCGCGAAATAGAAATATATTTTTTCAATAATTTATTTTTTTTAAGAAACCATCAGAACTGAATATTTCATAATGTTACCACGACAATTCCAAAAATAAAAAAAAATCTATTGTAACTATTCAACTTTTGATTTTATTAGTTGGAATGAATATTACTTGTTTATAGTAAATTTTTTTTTCAGTAAAGAATAAAAATAATTTTTTTATGAAAGATAAATTTAACTGTAACACTGAATAAATTATAACAATATTTCTGACTTCAAATTAAATTATTTTTGATAATAAATAAATAATTTTATTTCATGTGAATGGTTTCTGAAACGGATTATAATGAATCTGGAAGCAAGAGAATAATTTCAATTTAGTTTGAATATTTTTTTTACATAAGTTATAAAATATGTAAAAAATTGATTTAACTATAGAGTTCGAAAATGAACATTTAACTAATATTTTATTTACAATAAGTCGAAATAATTTAGTAAACACCACCATCATTCATAAGTGCAATTATAAATCTGAACAGTTAAAAAAAATAACAGCCAATAATTCAACATAAGAGTTCAATAAAATAGAAATGTATATCAAGTATTTTGCAATTACACACAACTATTATATATCTTATAACCAATCGTATTGAATGCGGGCTATTTATCTCATCAATGCGGAATTACTCTCAAATTCTATATACCTTCTATTTTAGGTTTATGATTCCAGCTAATTCAGCCTGTCAGCATCATTATAAATCGTCGCAATGTGTTTAATGTTAATAATTACGAAGTTCTATTTATATATTATTATGAACATTGATGTTTACCTCATCATCGAGGATTGAATAAACCAACAATTAGTCCACATATATAGGATAATCCTTTATGCGTAATTAATTCTTATTGATGAATTATAAACTCCATCATTTTTATTCAATCGATTACAGTTTAATGGATATTTAAAGAAAATTTTAAATCCCCTAACTCACATATTCATTTTTTTTATTAAATATGTATCATCGGTGTGGGAGCAAGATAAATGTCACCCTCATATTAATATACGTGTCGGATATTTTTGTAGTTTAATGATGTAAAACTTGAATTGACTTACAAGATGTAATTCCCAATGTGAAGTAAAGGATGTAACGTACTGGAAACCTTATTCATACACCCTCGGTGATTTTCATAGAGTTCAGACACGTGCTACAGTGGACCCTTAATGACGACACGACGCCATGTGACACTTTTTTCCTTCTATTTTATATTTTTAAGTTTAATTACTATTGGAAACTTTGAAGTTAATACTATCAATAGTCATGTGAATGATAAAAATGTTATCAACTTAATTACCATTTAAAAAATTAAATAGTGATTTCATGTTAGTTGAGAAAAAAGCTATTAATTAAATATTGATTTGCCGTTGATACCGGGGAAAATTGAAGAAAAGTCTCTGAATGAATTGGTTCGTTGTACCTTTCGTTGTATTTTCGATCGAAGACTGAATTGAACTGATTCAAAGCTTGGTGAACCCGTGGGATATCGGAATAAACCAGTTTCTGATATTCGAACAAGCTTGGTGAGTGACGTATACTCGCAGGTGAATACTGTGAAATGAAGAGAGATTGGATACGGCAATATGAATTGAACGATGGAAATAGCATATTCGTAGAATGTATTTACATGTACTATATGCATATTTAAGCCTTTTTGAAATGTATACGTCTACATTATTTAGATAAATAAATGACTACAATATTTAAAAAGTAATGTAGGCAAGTAACTGGAGACACTTTTATATAAAATGAAATAAGATAATCAAAAAGTAAAAAATAATATCTCATATCATATAGTTAAATATTCATTATTCTAATTCATTTTAACGTTCGTTTTTTTTTTAAATATGTTTTGTTTTGGTGACAGGTAATATATTCAAAAGTATATTCATTTTTGAACGTAAATAACTGACAGATTGCTTTTTATTTAGAGTATTTCATATTTACGTAATGAAAAATTTTATAAAATAGAGACGTATTGAATCTTCTTATCAATATAAATGTGTAGGATTATAATAAAATACAATGCAGCATAAACAAGTATTATCCATGTCAATATAATAAAATATACAACATTAATATTATTATTGATAAAATCTTTAAAGTTACCAAAGCAAAGTTTACATGATATTATTAAATATTATTTTATTTATTTATTTATTTTGAGAGAAAAAATAAGGTACATTCTTGAAAATTTTATTATCTTGGTAAAAAGGATTTAACAACATTTTTTTCAGTCTTGTGACATTTCGCTGGAGGGTTGAAATGCGACATTTACGCACCCCATCTTTATTCTGGAACGCATTTTTTTTTTTGTTGAAATGGATGAGGTCTTCTTTTGATGACAATCATATTTCTTGCTTCTTTAATGTTGTCGTTTACTCTAGTATCATTTAGGATGACAGTTGGATTGGTGGGTAATGAAAATAAACAGTCAAAATTGTAAATTTGATGGAATTCCTGGTTGTAAAGTTTACAACCTTTCATATATATGAAGTAGTAGCATTTATTGGCTATGGATATATTCAGAAATAAATTTGGAAAGTTTAGTTCAGCTCTATTTGGATGGTCACGTAAGCATTTCGTAAACTGAAGATGTAAAACTTGGTTTACTTCTCAAGATTGGCAAGTTTGATGGTCTGTTGCTCGACTTTACTTCCGTTCGTGGTAATAAATCAGCAGTGTTTCTAGCGGGGGGGGTTTGTATATACACGTTAATATATAAAGCCAATTTACCTGTAGGCAACATTCCGACAACAATAATCATGAACAATAGACTTTGCTAAATGAAAATGCAAATAGGGTGGGTTTGCTAGTTAGAGCTATGACACTTGGCAATAGAAAGCCCTAGGCATACTATTGTCACCTCTTGAGTTATCTCAAGTCATATGCAAGATACTGACTGACAGATGATTCTACATCAAGCATGAATTAATAGACATTCCTTGCGAATACTAAGGCTGATATATATTTTAGATAACCCCTCATCGAATTGCGGTTTTGGTGTCGGCTGCAGTGATTAGATAATAATATTATTTCTCCAAAGATCAAGAGGTTATGTTCTTTGATAACACGACAATCATGGAATTTAATCATACAGATCCCTGTTAAAAGGTAATTCAGTAAAACATTTTCTATTTTAACTAGTAATTTAATTATTATATTGAAGGACTTCTGAGTCTTAATTTAATCTGGAGGCTTTCCTATTCTAACTTTGAAACTTGCCATAAATTTTCGTCTGAGTCATGCCTTTGAGATGGCAACATTTAATCACTTCACTGGACACAGCACTGTCGCTCGTTAGATCTTTAGTAAGTTTGTGTTTTCAGTGGTTTAGTCAATGCTATACTAGAAAGATCTTGGAGTCCAGTTAATGGACTTGTAGTTGAATTGATTAAAATTCGCCTTCTTCTTTTTGTTTACCTTAGAATGAAGTATCTATCTATTATCTTTTATGTAACATGTGAGTAAAATAGAGTGATAACTAAAGATTCATTATATTTTTTTTTTGGGGTAATGATTTCTCATTTCCACTTGCCTGAATAAATAATTGTTCATGATTAATTTCTTGAAATCTTGCTAAATTATCTAGTACAGTCATCTGAAGTAGCTTAGATTAATTGGTGGAACAGTTTAGTTCCTTGAGTAAAATATCATAAAATTAATCGATAGTGATTTCTCATAAGTAATAAAGTCATTAATAAATTCATAAACACGGAATTTAACTAAATTTATGATAAATTGAGTTTAACAGTAAATATAACTTTTGTGGGTACTCAATTCTACAATCAACAAAAGCTCCAAATTAATTTATATTGTTTACGTTAATTTACATAGTTGAATCATTAAATGAGTTAATTATAACTGTTTTGAAATATACAAACACCAAGAAGAATCATTTTATTTCTAAAAGCAATACGTAATAAAGAAAAAAAAAATATAATGAAAACTTTTTTCCAATAGAACTTCTTTACATAGATGTTTGAATGGCATATTATGAATTTCAGCCATTTCTATGATATGGATGCAATCAATTAGTTGCAATTTGTGCAGTTGCAACCATTGCGATAACGATACAGCAGTAATAAGTATCGTCGTAACAGAAGACGATAATGAAAATGATAGTTCAATAGAAAATTTTTTGTACAAGGAAGATTTTGACGGTGATGGAAGTCGAATAATTTGTGCAAGGGATCGAGATCATGAAGATCGATCTTTTCCAAGCATTTGTCACATGTTGTGTTACAATGCTTGTACGGAGTTTAACACCAAAGAGAACAACGAAAAGAATGGAACGTACGACGTGATAGCATATAGAACGAGTAAGCAATGACGATCGTTTGTCAGTTTCTATTTTCACGTCGTGCATGCAATACTTTCATAAATATCTTCCAATTTATGTTGCCCTATATTTTTTATTTTTTTCGTAGATTACTATAAACTCCATGACGGGCCGTGTCAGCGACATTACTCATAGCGAACTATGTAATTAACAGATGAAAAAAAAGAGGAAATAATTTACAATGGTTTGTGAATTGATTTACTGAAGGCTAATTTGTTTATGAGAATCGAAATCAATTGTTTTCATGATTTAAAATAAATATACATATTTTTTTTGAATTATCCCAATATAAAGGTGAATGAAATTAGTTGGAAATTTAATCAAACTCGAGTTACTTTGTGATGTAGTGGAAAGAAAAAAAGTTTTAAATTGAAATTGGATGAACCACTCTTGACGTATGATTGACGAAAAACTTGTCCAAATATATACATATGTGCCCACGCTATATTTTTTTTAAAAAAAAAAACTATTCATGAAAAAATATATGATGAAAATTCCGAAAAAAAATTCTTTTAATTTTCCAAAATCTCTTTCGACTATAAAGCAATACATTCAGCTCACTTTAGATATAAATATTTCGTTATTATCAAAAATTCCATGGATTGTGTCACTCATGAGGATGGAATTTATTAATAATTTATAAGATTCATCAAATATAAATCAATTCTTCTTTTAATATGAGAATATTTACTATGATGATTTTCGATTGTTGAATATTTCCATAAAGTTAGAGATTTAATATTCATGATTATGCACAAAGCGTTCGTTAATACTTACATACTTCTCATAGCTTTTCCACCAAGTATAAGCACAAGTCGCTCATTAAACTTCAATCTCATTGAGTAAACTTGGTAATGGTAGTGATTGCTGTGGTCGCCAGTTCTCATTTACACTTCTTCGACATACCCGATTTTCACTATGAGAAGGTAATGTGGGAAGTCATAAAATTAAATGAACTAGCAGTTCAGAATCTCATAATGTAATAATTATAACCCAATTCTTAATTAGATAATATATAAAAATACGAGTAAAGTAGTTTTTCTGGTCCATGAATGTGTGCAAGTGCAAATATGCTAGAGGGTAGTTGATGGGTACAGTGGGCTTTTTGTGGTTAAGAAGAAGAAGAAAGAAAAAAGTATTTCACCAGACACTGAGTCAACGCAAATTGAGTTGTACGGTGGCGGAATTTAAACATTCAAATTAACCCGTTTAGCAAGTCAAAGTGTCTAATGTGGCAGTGTGGCTGTTATCTCATGCTCGACTTTGTAATATTCAATCGATACTGTTACTCTCGGTGAAATTTTAACATTTCCAAATGCCATTTTTTCCCTTTTACTCCAATTATTATCTTCAAGTCGAATATTACTCCATCTGCTATAACTATCGGGTATTATTTAGCTAAGTAGAGACACTGAGAATAAAATTTCATTATTAACAAGTAATATTTTTCTCAACTAATAAAATCATAATTTTAAATATTTGTAATAAACATTTGTTTGGAATTGACATAGTAACATAGATTCAGTTCTGATGGTTACTTCAAATAATAAAAAATAATTCAATCAAAAAATACCTTTTGTTGATTACACACTTTTATTCACTGTATATTCAAGTGTTCAAAACTAACCACTCAAAATGTTTACAATGTGAAACACTATAAATAAACTATAGCAATTTTGTATTTTGACTAGAATTTTTTAAACATTAATTCATTCTATTTTTTTTTGGATTGATCATTTTTTTCTAAGATCCATAGTGTCTTAGATAGCTATCACAATTATTCTGACCGTATGAGCAAGTGAAGTATTAATATAGTAGCAATACTATGAATTTTGAAGATTAAATAATTAATCAAAGGGGTACGGTATTGTTCCTACAATTATACATTTTTTTAGTGTCCATAATCTTGAACCAACTTTCAAACTACCTTTTTCAAGTAAAATTTCTTTAAATTTAATACAACATTTTATTGTAAATATTTCAACTCTTTTATTTATAAATTAAAATCTTATATTATAAGAATATTCATTTAGTTATTCACTTCGAGTGATGACCTGATTACATAGTTATTTCTGAATAAATATATTCATCTTTTTTGATTCGACGATTCTTAAAGATTTGTAGTTGGAAAATCGAATCTCTACTTGGTTGGCTTCGTTTTTTTATACTTTATGCGTCTCACGTGTCGTATTTCCTTGTTGTCTCTGTGGTTTAGTTGCCATTTGTTTGGCTTTTTCGACAAGTAATTACTAGCTTACAAAACACCATAAAAACGATTGAACATTTAAAAAATATACGATTATGGAGTTTGCTGTGTAGGCATCATCATTTATATTTTTTAAATATCACTTTCTTGCACTGATCACCAAGTTGTTTGTGTTTATTACACCAAAAGTATCATTAATTTAGTAACACCATTGAAACACGTTGTTTAATAACAAAACAAAACCAACAAGAATTAAACTATAAAAATTTTTACAGTATTGTGTTGAGAATATTTTTAAAAAGGATCGATAGTCTAGTAATTGCTTCTTTATGTAACACAATATCCAATATATTACATTGAAATTGTGGTAATTGAACATGTTTCTCAGTTAATAAATATTTGAGTTAATTTGATCAAGTAATGTTGGTTGGAGAAAATGTTATCCTAGCATGTATATTAATATTTAATGTTGTAGGATAAGATAAAATGTCAGGATGGATCGATAAAAAAAATGACAAACTGATAAATTTTATAAAACTTTCTTTTATTGGTGCAATATCCTGATAATGTCATTTATGAAAAGCTCATTAGAGGATATAAAGAGACTTTTATGCGACACATACGATAAATCTTTCGCGCTCGATCCTCTCTGTCACTGCTTGAGAAGATGAGAGCATCATCGAAAGAAGCAAGAGACTTCCGTGCAAAGGTTGCCGCATACCTTCAACCTCTTGCGTAAGGGATACGGGTCATGTGTAGTCAGCCGTACCCTCTGTAGTTCGTCAAGCGGAAAAAAGAAAGCTAAACCTACCTTCAGGCTGCGTATGACTGGCGATCATGATGTAGGGGTGATTGCTTCAGGTCATCTCGGCATTTGTACCCCCCTTCTTACTCTACTATAGCTTACTACCAGGGGGATGAACAGCAAACGCGTGGTGGGGATGGCGCGCGCTGTCTACCAGAGAAACCCTTGCATTGTACCCGCAAGTGGGGAGTTGCCGAGAGGTTGAGGATATACATCGGATTCTATCAAGTTGGAACTTCAGTCGCGACGCGGACGACACGCGCGATAGTTATTTGACGGGATCTGAATGTGAGTTGCTCTTGTAATAACACAATATTAATCGGCTATGAGCTACGTGATTAGAATGTTATCAAGAGGTGTCTCTAGAACGTGTCATCCACTTTTAACTGGACTGATTTTTGCAACTTTCTTCGTTTGTTCCACTTCACAAGTCATCGGTGAGTTTATTAAGTTTTTTTTCGACTCATCAGATTGGACCACTTTATGTGAATCAATGAAAAAGTTATCACAATTTATTTATTGTCATCATTTTTATACGCATTTGTGGCTTTTACAAAATTTTTTATGCTACAATGAAGAGTTCGAAATAATTTATTATGATAACAAAATAAATCATGCAATCTTTAAATGACCTTATTGGTTTTTAATTAACGTTATTATTTTTTAAATCTGTTTAATGATTAAATTAAAAATTTAATTATGGAAATTTATAAATATTGGATGAATGTTTATTTTATAAATAAATAATTGTTGAAGCATTCTTTTTATGTTAATTATGAGATTGAAATTATTTTAAATTTTATTCGTAGATTTACAAGTATTTTTTAATTAAATATTTTCAGTTCGAAAAAATTCAACGCGTGTTATGATTTCAGTTGACTCTTCTCTGAGGTTATATCATTTATTTTAATAACCACTCTGACAATTTTGATATTTATATATTTTTTTCTTCATCGTTTTTTTTTCCTTTCTTTCTGCCCCTTATATTCCCTTTAGAGTAAATGTTTCGTGATTTAATTTTTTCTTCTCGAGCGAAGAATCTGAATAAAAAAAATCACGTTGTCACGTGACGATTACAGTGTAAGATAAATTCAAAGCGTAGTTCATTAACAGTTTGTTCATGAAATGCAATTGATTATCGATTAATTAATTCTTATTGAATAGACTCTCGATAACTTAAATGTTTATCTTAAATGTTCGTGGACATCACAGTGTTACCTGCACCTATAGAATAAATTATTTTCATAGCAACTTTCAGATAAAGTTTGCGTCAATTTCACTGTCACACCGGTTGTGAACTTAGATAGAATAATCCATTGTATAATTGGATTTCAAAAACTTTCCTGTTTCCACTTGTTTCTATGAAGTATCGACTAACTATCCCATTTAATATGCACGCATATTTAAACTTCCTTAATGAATCATGACGTTATAATGGTAAAAAGCAATGTGTAAATAATTTTATCATAAACACCGTAAAATATAACGCAGGTATAGAATAGCAGAAATTTTTGTGGTTATTTATATTTAGATCAGACAGTTAAAGCAAGAGGGTGTTTAAACATCATTAATTTTTTTTTTATCAACTTCTAGATTCCGTTATCGATACCCGGGTTGGAATGTAGGTATTTTTTTTTTTAATACATGAGAGTTCTGATTTTTAAATATTCAAAATTACCCAATTATTATTTACAAGAGATCAAAAAGTTTTTTAAAATTGGCCCTGTAAAGGGCTTTTAAAGTCAGCCCTGAATTATGCTGTATATTTTCATTTTCAGCCACATCAATACTTACTCAGGATCATATAAAAAATTTTTTTAGGTCCTAGTTGAGTGCTTTTTTAGTTTTATTAATGAATTATTTTGTGTATGCATATATAATATGTTAAAAAAAAAATTTATTTGCATTTATTTAGAGTATTTAGTAAAAAAAAAAAACACATGGAAAACAGTTATGCTAATTAGCATTTAGGAGACAATAAATTTTAATTAATTAAATGTTATCCTTCATCACTGTTTATATTGTTTATGTGTGTTCGATTATGTGTTACAATTTATTTTAAATTAATTACTGCAAAGTACTTGTCAGGGACTCTAATCTTAATATCAATTTTTGTCATGACTGTTTTTAGAAAATGCATGGCTTCAATTACATATTAGTTTTTAAAAAATATAAGAAAAATAATATTGGAGGGTTAAAAAAGAATTGTAACCGAAAGAAAAAATCTTAAGTATTGAAACAGATTTTGAAAGTCGCAAAAATAATCTAAAAAGACTTCAACAAGTACCTATATTCCGACTCGAGTATTTATCAATCTAGATAAATAAGCAGGAAAAAAAACCCCACAATGCTTTGAACTAATTTTAAATAAATTTATTTATCGAATTGGTAAATAATGACTTGAAAGTCAATCAACAGGATTCTGTAGTTCATAAAGGATGTGGCTCATAAAAGAGAAATATAAGTAATATTTGATTGCATTCAAGAGGGTGAGGGGAAGGTTTTCTTAGCAAATAAACTTCTCAATATGATGCTGTACACACAAGATCGTCGATAAGAAATAAACTCGCAAAGTGAAATGAAAGTGGAATTGACAATACTCCAATAAGCTTACAAATAAATAGTCAAAACAAAAAACGACAATCGATTAATCTTGGATGTATTATAACTATCAATCTTATGCTTGATTGTGTCACGCTCGTGATGGAAAAACATTGCAATGTCTTTCAAGTTTTTTTTTTTTTTTTTAAAGAATCGCTTTCACGTTAACGGAAAAGTTTCAGTAAATGGCAATTCCCAATAGAACAATTATTTGCACAACAGCGGGTAACACAATTGGACTGGAGTTGAAAAAGTCTACAGCAGTAGAGGCAAAAAGAAGAACCAATGAAGAAATCTAAAGCTATCAGGTGGACGGTCCATATGAAAAATCTTCGACTTGTGAGGCATTTTGAAATACCTACCATCGATTACCATATATACTTGACGATGATATGTATACTTTAATATGTTTTCGTGCTTCTGAACAGTAAATGATCAACAGCTTTCAATCATTTCTCCAGTATAATTGCATGCTTATTTGCTCTGGAAGTAAGTGGACTCAATATTGAAATCCCTGACTGATGATTGCACGATACCACCGTCCTGAGTAAACGGAAAATAAAGACGTGATATTTCTATATATAAGCAAACGAGATTTTTATCGACATCGATGTCTGTAAAAGAAGAACTGAGTATCAGTGGATGTTGAATAAAGTTGAGTGAACAGTTTTGAGCTATAGAGTGAACGAGAAGATGAGACAGATATCGATAGAGTCGTAGCACTACAGAATCACAGCCAATAATTCAGCAGTCACAAGCTGAGAGGTGTAAGAGAGCTACTTCAATTCCTCAGATATTCATTTAATTTTCGTTGACATCTCGAGGAAATGCTTAGTGCATATTAGGTGGTGAGAAGGACTGCTTGACAGTCAGTCGCATATGGTGTTACCTTGTGGTTGATTGCGTGATGCCTCCTCTTCACCCTCTCAGAATCGATAGCGTTCGTGTCGTTGGTTAGAATCTACACACCAATATTCAAATCTTCCGCGTTTCCTCAACTCTGAGTTCAGAAACTCTATGTTATAATAGAGCTGAATGCCATACCACTGTTGAAACTCTGTAACACGTGTTTATTGAGACAAGCATGTAACTGTCCACATGGTGTGGTTCAATCGACCGTACTATTTTTTATCGATCGATCGAGAACATTTAATCGAGCGTATGGTTGCAGGGTTCAGGTTTCTTTCGAGCTCCAGCTGACAAACTTTTTTCAAGTAATTTATGCTTAGAAAAAGACTTTATGCTCCTTATTAACTCTTTTTTTTTAATAGCAGTATCATTTTATAGCTTTATTAGAATTCTTTATTCATAAATAAATTTTGATGAATTTTTATGATGTACTCAGAGAAATTTTTTTTTGGTGATATTTTCAAGTAAATTTATTTTATTTTTATTCTTTATTTCTTTCTAGCATGAAAGAGCAGAATCAAAATCACTCATAGAGAAATATTATTTAAAATTGGGAAATATTTTATTATTAATTCCAATATTGAAATGAGCTTTCTTCAGATAATATCTTATTGTAAAAAATATTTTTTTAAGAGTTAAAAAAAAAATAGAATTGTCAGTTAATAGTTGAGACAATTTTTTGTTTATACATGATGTTATTTTATAACAAATTTGACGTGAATATTGACCTACAATTCAGAAACTAATTACATTTATACATTAAAACAGATAAAAATTAAAGATAACTGAATATTTCCTTTTTCTTAATTTTATAACCACTTGATTCATCGTTTTTTTTATGTCAAGTGTCTTTATTAAAATCAAACTGACTTATTTATGATGTAAAATTATTTAAAAAAAATAAAAAGATTATTTAGATTACTTGAAGTGTAGCTGATGCAAATGACGTTCTAACAAGTTCAAAGTATTACTGTGTTGTGCAGAAAAATTTCTTATCGTTAATAATTCCACTAATTGCACTAATGTCTTCCGTCATTCTATCGGGGAAATTAATATTTACATTTAATCTCTATAGCCGTCGTTAATATCATAGCAGTTTCCTTTATTTCTTACGTGATTAAGTATAATTACTCTGATTTCGACTGCTTATCCATAAATTCTTTAAGAAAAATTTAACCATTCATAAAATCCATAACGATTAGCTTCTTATCCTCTTTTATTTCTATTCTATCATCTCTTACTCAATATGATGACGATTTATTTTGGTTCTTAATTTTTCTCTAATACCCATATTAATAAATATATTTGTAATTTAAATGTAGATATTATTATCTTCGAATTAGCAGTTATATTACTCGGAATATTGTGTTGCAGAGAAGTTTGGCACACTAGTATTTTACTTGTTTCATTATAGGGATATTACATATTCTATTTTGGACCAAAAGTTTATCCTTTTATTTTTTTTTTCATTCACAAATATTGTAGAAAGATAATGAAGTGAAGGATAAAGGAAATTCTATCTTCAAAAACAACATTTTTTAATCTTCAATAAAATTTCAATTAAAATTTCTTGTAATGGAAAATGTTACTTCTATTACCTTAAGATTATAAAAGAATTAAGGAAGGATTCCTTATTCAATTTTTCTAAATAGATTTTGCATAATCACTTCAATTACTGGAGTACATTTTAATATTTTTGTTACATTATTCAGAGCAAGAGTAAGAATTAAATTTCGGTCATTTTTTTTTAAATTATTATATCGATATCAAGATGACATGATAAATATAAGAATACATTTTTATTAAAATAAGTCGTTGACAAGTTTATAATAATTTCAAATTAAATTACTAAAATTAAATAACTGAATTAGTAATATTGAATATTAATATTCAAAAATACACAGACTATTTTAGTATTAATAGTAAG